TAACGGAGTCCAGGAGGATGGGAAGTGGCGACCTCTGGTGGTGAGAGGGAGAACACCAGACCCAGACCACTGACATTAATCGCGATTGATCGTTTGACAGCACTAGTTTTAACCTAATCAAGATCTTCTATGCATTGAGCTACTATATTTCTCTAATATTTTGAATGAATAACGCAGCAACTGTGCGTCTCGTGGGCTAGACTAACAAAACATTAAAATGCAACAACGTCACTTACATCATCATTACCGCATCTCGTGCTCCACTGATGACGCTCCCTGATGCACACCTAACATTTGATTGTACTATTTTTGCATTCAAATGCAAATGTTTATTTTAAAATCAACTAATATTCATTTTTTTATTCACAATCTCCACATCACAGGCAGGCACAGCACTCAATTCAGCATGTGTTCGTGTTTGTGTGTGCTGTCTGTGTCACTCATAGCACGTGCCTATAGTGCACTATATCGAACATTTTTTCTATCGTTATCGAAGAAGGTGTACTGTCGATAAATGTCAATACAGTTTTATCGCCCAGGCCTAATAGAAATAAACTGAACAGTTTGAAGCAACTAACAGTCATTTCCAAAGCTCAAGAAGGCAAGAAGGAACATGTTGTCACAACTGGATGCAATTTATAATAAAATAAAATTCTGACCAATAAATTCACACATGATTTTGTGCCTGCAGTAGCTCTGAGATGTCAAAAATGTTAACTACTTATTTGTTTTCTGAAGGTCATGCTACATGTTGGACACTTCCCATGCAGACATCCTTGTGTGGGCATTAGTCAGGGTGAACTAGAACAGTTTAACACTGCATCCTATTGAGCAGTTTGTGCATCTATGCTGGCTACAGGACCTGCCCAGAAACCTTACCTTCACAGTCTTGTTTTCATTCATGTAAAATTAAAAAAGTATTCTACCCTGACTAAGGCCCATGGCAGCAATCTTTTTAACTTTTAATGTGCTTAATTCATTTACATAATCAACAGAAGGAATGTGTTATGCTTTAATAGCTTGAGATATAACAATATACCCTGTAAAATTGTTCTG